TTTACAGGTTCTCTTAAAATTCAGAGTCCTGGCTCCCACACCAGACTTTATGAATCAGTATAGGAAGCAGGCAGGTTTCTGTTCTGTGAAGACAGACTTCAGGTAATTGTGAAGTACACTGTTGGCCCAGAACCATGTCTTACTTATTTCCAGAAGCCAAAAATATCAAGACAGAGATCCCCCCACAATTATAAGGCAGATCTGTGAATGTTCAAGTGGTCAATTTTGTAACAAATTCAAACTAGATATTCAAATAGCACAATTCATATAAAATTCAGGGGAAAGATTTTTCAAGAATTTAAGCTAAAAAGGAAATAATTAATAGTGAGAGAATTCAGTGTATAATAATTAAATAAACTCATCAGGTCCACAAAATCTCAATGCCAGGTAAGTTCCCTAAAGCCCAGCCTTAGCCGTTTTTATAGATAAGAAAACTGTGGGTAAATGTAAGAGTAAGAAACATGCATAAATCCCCAGAGACAGTCTGTGGTAGGCTGGACTGTCTATCTGTTCCTGTTGGTTTCTCCTCACCACCGCTCAATACAGTAGATAGGGTTCCCCATTTGAGACATGTGGAAACGGAGACTCGTGGAGGCTCGGAGTCCTGCCCAAAGCCACACAGCTCAGAGTTCAGCAGAGCTAACATTGCTCCGGCACCTCTGACTGACGCCGAATTATAATAACCCCTGGACTCTTTGAAGAGCTAAAATGTCCTCTTTGTTCAGGAACTAAAATAATTCCCAAATCTCCATGTAGAAAATCTGTTCTAGGACCACAGAAACTCCTCAGTGAATGAAAGAGTTTAGATTGTTGTTGTTGTTGTTGTTGTTGTTGTTTTTAATCACACTTCTTTAAAGAATCCTTTTCTTGTTCTTCCCTAAGCAATCTGAAAAGTAATTGCTAATAGCTCAACAGTTATTAAGAAACACTTACCACTGCATTAATACTACAAAATTAAATATCTAAGTAGAGGATTAAAGCACTATAAACACAGAAGAGAGTAAACTAACATATTCTATAAATAGCTCTTAAGAGATTTGAGATTATCTTCCTGCCACAAATTTCTCTTTAATATACCTAAAACACCCTCCCACTCAAAGACACACACAGCAATTACTCTAACAGAGAGCTCACATTAAACTTATTTAAGCAGCACCCCTTTTATTTATTTTTTTACTTTATTATTATTTTTTTATCCTCACCCAAGCACATTTTTTTCATTGCTTTTAGAGAGAGAAGGGAGAGAGAAAAAAATATTGATGTGAGAGAGGAGCATTGATTGGTTGCCTCCCATATGTGCCCAGACTGGGAATCAAACCCACAACCTTTTGGTTATGGGACGATGCTACAACCAACTAAGCCACTGGCCAGGGCACAGCATCCCTTTTAAAGGGCTAAACGTTGCCTTAATGGTGTGGCTGGCTGAAACCACTTTTTGGAGCATGATTTCAGTATTTGAAGAGTGGAAATTTTGTTCTTTGTCAGCAATGCCTGTAATATGAAATATCCTTGATGGAAATTCCAGGAAACTCAGACCCCTGACTGAAAATTGGAATACAAGTACAAATCATCTGCTACATCATATCAACTGAAGTTAGAAACTCAGGAGCAGAGATTTGTTCTGTCAAGTGGAGTCCCATTATGACTCCCATTCTCCCCACTCCACCCAGCAGATCTGAGTAAACTATGACAAAATTAAAGTCCTCATGAAGCTCACATTACAGAGACAACACAGGTATGAAAACAAAAACAAACAGAAATAAAAGCCAGTGAAGAATACCTTGAAGGGAATCAAATAAGGCAACAGGGCAGAAAATCAAGAGATTTGGAGGACTATTTCAGATGGGGTGGGGTATCAGAGAAGGCTGATAAACACAGTGATCTATGGTTATGCTTGTATAAGGTGATATGTATATACATATAGTGATATATGGCTGAGACCAGAAGAAAGAGACTGTTTCTCAATCCTTGAGGACTTCCAAATCATTGCAATAATTAGCTGGTGGAGAGTAGTGCTCTGCTATTTTTAAACTCAAAAGGAGAATTCACAGTCAATCAAGAAATAAGAGGTCATTTTTTTTTACTTTGGTATTTTCCTTTCCTGCTACACCCTTGTTTCTTTGCAGAGCAAAATTTAAAGCCCCTGAAATTAAAAAAACCAAAACCAAACCTAAAATGGCACCACGTTCACGAGGAGAACTCAGTGGTACACAGTCACTAACAATAATAGCAGCAGTTGCTTTGGGAAAGGGATCATTACTGGGCTTATTGGTCTTACCACCCTGCATGAAACAAAAATAGTTAGAACCTGTGCATCATGCAAAACACCAAGAGTCAGACCCAGAGGCAAAGATGAAGGGTGTTCTAACAGTCACTGTGCTCTCCATGGCAGGTTAGCTAGTGCTGCCTCAAGGTGTGCAACTGTGTGGATTTCAAAATAGAAAGTGCTCAGTCTTGAAGTGTAGTTTTCTGAACTGGAAAGCTGAGCATTGAAGACATTACTCTGCTACATGGAGGGGCTGCTTACTACAAGCCTGATTTCAGGGTTCAAGTTTATGTGGCCATTATCACCTATATGTCATCACCATAAAATAGCAAGGCCAGTAAATACCTATACTCTGAAAAGAATTATGGGAAGTGCTTGTTAACAATGAAGATCCCCAAGTTCCACTTACAAAGATTCTAAATCAGTAGTTTTAAAATAAGGGCTGATAAGAAGCAACTTTTTTTTTAAACTAATACCAAAATCAATGTTCACGTAGGTAGTATAAGAATTATACTTGGAAAAACCTAGATTAGACAACTTTAGATATGCAGACTTGGTCTAAAAGGATAGTTTTCAAAACATTGTCATCCACTGAGGTTTTTACATGTATGGTAGTTTATTTTTAATTATTTTATATTCCACAGAGAACTACAGATGGCTCTGCTAACTCATGTAGGAGAAATTCTGTGATTAGGTTGGAGACCATTGAATTATGTCAAAGACAATATAATCTACTGATTTTTTTTAAAGTAGAACTTTAAAAAAATTAAGCTAAATAACAATGGTGGTGATAATAATAACCATATTCCTCATTTCATATACAAATACTATATGCTAATAATTACTCTAGCCTCACCATTGAAGATAAAACCTTTAAAAAAGAACTGGCCAGATACTTGGGACATCAAAAAGTAGCCTCTATTGTAATCAGAGGATCTACAGCCATGGTGCTCAGTCCTGCTAGTCTTAGTTCTTGTTTGTCTTTTTAATATGTGTTTTATTTTATCATTTTTAATAGAGATATAACCCAAATACCATAAAACTCACCATCTTAAAGTATGCAGTTCATTTGTTTTCAGATTATTCACCAATTTGCACAGTCATCACCAATATTTGATTCCACATCTTCACCACTCCACACAGAATCCCTTCCCCATTAGCAGTCCCTCCCTAGGCTCCTCAGCCTCCAGCCCCTGCTCACCACTCATCTACTTCCTGTCTATACTCAAAGCCCTCTTGTATAGGAAATTATTTTCATGTCCCCTTCAGAATTCTGAAATGATTTTTCAAGATTCTATAAACTATATATTCATATAAATATTAGATATGTTTTGTAAGTGCATATTATCAATCTGTGCATTCCACTTAATTTGGCTTGTGCATCCTCCCATGTTACTAGCTATATCTCTATGGTGTTAGTGTCAATGACTGAAGAAATTTGATCAGATAGATATTGCATAATGCATCTAACTAATCTGGTATTGCTAGAATTTACATCTGAATATTGAGTTTTTAAAAAACTAGTAACCAGGTTTAAACATTTGTGTTTTGCATAAGAAGCAGTTTCAAAAAGAAGCTACTTCCATTATACTCTTTTTTAGCATTTGCATATTTAGAAGCCTGGCGTACGGGTAGACAGTGAGGTGAAGTAAAGCCATGCATCCACTCTGCTGTATCACACCGTAGGTCTGTAACAACCTTTTTATATGAAATTTATTGACAGTCATATTGGACATTCCCTGCTCAAAAGTACTTCCTATATATTCTATTTTAAAAGTACCGCTGCAGCTAAGTTCAATATTAAAGCCATATGCAAACTAATATCAAAAGAAGATGATCTTTCAAAAAAGAAAACTAAGTTTATTTGTCACTAATTGACATCAAGCGTTACCATGTTATCTTTTACACTTACAGCCAAGTTCAGAGCCCTAAAACCTTAATTCACCAGGTATAACATTAGCATCCCAGCCTGACTTGCTTCTGATTTCTAACACCAGTGGGGGGAAAAAAAAGCCTTTTCTATGATTTAGGCATGGGATCTAACTGCATAAGAATTCAGGGGGCTGAAACCCAGCTTTCAGAATCAGATAAAATTTTAGTATTTTACTTTACTGGGGAAGCAAGGACTATCCTAATATATCCTCCTTTCCTTTTCTAGCACACTTAAAAACCCATCTTTGAGCTCCACTGACTCCATTAGGTTAGAATTTGCTGCTAAGTACAAAGGGAGGAAAAGTAAGTGTGTGAGTGGAGAGGACAGGGAAAAAAGGAAGGCCGAGGGGTAAAGGGACACCCTGGGGCACCCACATCAGTGAGCCCTTCACTCAAGAATGAAGAGGCAACACAGACTGTGCTGAGAGCCCAAAGCCTTGTCAGAGATGCCCAGGCTTGAATGGGACCTGCAAATCCACACCCAGTGTGCATATTCTTTCCTAGATACTGCCTCACATGATGTCCCTTGATTTCAGTTTTTGGACCCCTTGATTTAGAATCTGTTTTATCATTTGCACAATAATAATTTTATTACAAAAGGTAAAGGTCTTGTAAACTAATGGGAAACATATTGCTTAGTACAGTTTATAATGTCAGGATTTATGTCTCTAACACTAAGGGTCTCTCTGACCTCGAAGATAACATAATGAAACAGCAATGTGCTGCAAATGACTCAGTGTAAGTTTTTATTAGTGCTCATAATTGCCCTTTATTAATTTGTATGCATATAATAAGCACTCACCTTCACAGTCTGTCCAGCTTCGGGGCCATCCTAGAAAGAGGAAGAAAAATATGGAGGTGAGAACAGTGAGCTGGTATCTCCTGGTTATTCAGAAATGTTGCCTGTTAATAATTTAGATCAAATTTCATTGTGTGTTAATTTATAGTATTCTCTGGGAACCATTTGCTTCAACTGTGTGTGTAGGACCAGACAGTTCTCCATTTCTGCCTGAGAGTGAGAAGTTATGTATAGAAATAATATAAATTATCCAGGGAGCCAACTCCCTTGCTACTTTACATGCTCTTTGCTCCCAGCTATGGTTTCAATTGCATTAAAGGAAAGCTGAAATGTTCAGGGAAGCAAAGTATCACACCTTTTGATTATCTTTAAATCAGATGTAGTTTAATTAATGCCTAACTACTTTAACTCTCTACTCAGGAAATCTGCTATAAACATAATTCATTAAGCAAGAATATGGGCTGTCTCATATGGGACGAGCACCCAAGAGCATGCCCTCACTGGCTGTTCCGACCTTGAGGGAGAAAGATGAGAGTATTCATTGTAGCTGGGTCCTTGCTTCATTTGGGTTCCTTCTCTCAGCTTTCTGAAGCCCAACAAAATCTGCTTGGTGGAAAATGAGCAACCTCTTTGCAGTCATCAAACACAATGCAAAGTCAAAGGGACTAGCAGGCTTGAGATAGAACAACAAATGTCTCTACAATCAGAAATTCCAAAATTGAATTAGGACATTGCAACTTCAGGCAAGTCTTTCTACCTCTATGGCCAGTACTCAGGGGATGAAAAATCTTGTCCTGGAGCAGAGGCCAAGTGGCAGGAACAAGAAGAAGTATATAACCAGCAGTTTTCAAACCTAGATGCATTACACATTAGTAGGTAAGGAAGTCAATTTAATGGCTTGTGATAAGCACTAAAAACAAAACAAATAAGATAATAAATCAAAAATTACTGGAGCATATAGAATGGATAAGCATTGTTTTGTAGAATCCTGGTTTCCTATATCTACATAGGTGTATGTGGGGGTATACGTTGTTGGTGAAATAAATATATATCTTACTATGGGTTAAAGTTAAAAGAAGTTTTAGCTCACAGAGAGTGCAGCAGAGTAGGTGGAAGTTGAGCCCATTTGCTTGTGCCCCAGTACATATTTTCAGCTGATCTTCTGACAAGTGACCTGAGTAATCAATGAAATCTGAGCTGATAAAAATTTTTGAAGCCAAGGCATACAGAGTATACTTTGCACAATTTTGTAAGAAATTTTATAACTTGAAGGGGAAATACCTTATGTGAGGTGCCTACAGCAGAGGATATACCAGACAGAAAATGTAGCTTAGTAGCTCCCTCCCCTCCCAGAGCAGGGGGTTTCAGTCCTGCACGTGGAATCCCCAACCTTCATTGAGAGAGACTGGGGAGGAGATAAAGAGTCAGGGAGACTCAGGCCACACACACACAGTGAACAGCATTTCCATAGCTGCAGAGCCAAACAGGGGTGTTCCAGAGAGAAATTCTGTCTCCTAAAACTGTGTGAGGCACTGGCAGTCTGTGGCCAGCCCTAATAGAGACATTTTTGCTTTTTTGGGGAGGTGGAGTACATGGAGAACTGATTTAGTGCTGTGGTGCGGGTGCCACATAGAGACTTTTTAAAAGAGGTGCTGAAGCATGGCTGAGCAGGCTCCCTGCATGCATGTGCAACTGCCCTGCCAGCAAAGATACCAGATTGAAAGCACAGTTTGTTCCCACTGAATCCAGCTGGGCAGGACAATCAGAAAGCTACATGGCAAAAGGATTATGGGGCACCACCAAGCGAGTGCAGCTGGTGAGTGGGGGGCTGCATGCATAATGGAAAGTTAGAGTCTGAGTCTCTGAAAGATCAGTGGGCTGGAAGATAGATGGGCAAGAGCTGAGTGCCTGAAATCTTTGCAGCCAGGCAGGTCCCCTCACACCACATTGTACAAATCTCTGGGAAAAATAAGGTGTACCCAACTCTCACCTGGAGGATTCCAAACAACAGGGCAGTTAAGGCCAGGCTCAAGAACCCCCTGCCAGGTGCATATCTACAGGGGAAAAAAAAAGAATCTCCAAAAGAGCCCTTTACGAACTTTTATCAGATGCAACAAGCTACTCTGGTTCCTCACTGAAACTAGCAGAGCAGAGAAATTAGAAATTGGTGCAGCAAGCTCTCGCTCTCACACAGAGCTGCCATCGGCACCAAGCAGGAAAAAGCTGACTCTCTTACACAGATTGGCCCCTCACATGAAACAGAAAGCTAATTCTTCAGAAATTATACATTACTGGAAATAATCTGGGACAGAACAAGATGTGTGGCACAGGGGCAGGGGAACACACCCACCATCTTCCCTGAACACTGGACAGAGCCTCCTAGGGAAGAACCAGGGATCCACCCTCCCTATAGCACCAGAAGCCTCCTCTAAGGGTAGGCAGAGGTGGTACATGCAGTGCTGTCAGACATTAGCTGAACCATTGCTGGGCCTTGCACTGATAAAAAGACAGCAGGGCAGAGGACTGAGGACCAGCCAAGCCTGGAGGAGACAGCCACAGACTATGGATGGCCTGTAGCCTTGAACAGGCTGCCTAAAGTTAGACTGGGACACCAGATGACATTACCAGAGATGGATCCAGAAGGAGAAGACAGTAGGCAAAACTAAGCTTTGTTGAGACAAATTCCACCTCATTCTTTATCATTATTTGCATTATTTTTTCTCCTGCATAGCTTTTAAACATTTTTCTTTTTCTTCAATTTAATTCCTATTATTTCACTATTTTATTTTAGTTTTATTTCAGATCTCATATTTTACTCTTCTCTTACTGAACTTTGTCTTCTTCCTTTCCTTTCTTATTTTCATTTTAAATTTTATTTTTCCCTTTCTATGCCATATTTCTATTCCTTACTCTATCGCTCCTCCCTTCATCAACTCAAAATCATTTTACTTTCCATTACTCAGCTCACATTCTTTTTCCCTTTCTTATAATATCCTTATTCTCTTTCCACCTTTATAATCTTTGCTCAATTGCCATGGATATTACAACAGTGGCTGTTTTTCAATTCTGTCCCAATTTTTTCACTATTTTTTAATTTCAAACCTCATATTATATTCTTCCCTTTTCTTACTCCATATTGCCTTATTCTCTTCCTTTTTAATTTATAGTGTAAATTTTATTTTCTCCCTTTTCTTTATCTTGTTTCTATTCCCTACTCTTATTATTTCTTCTCCCTTTACACTCTCGAAATCATTTTTCTTTTTGTTAGTAATCTCATATTTTTTTCCTTTCTTATAAAATTATTATTCTATTTCTACCTTTATTAATATTTGCTCATTTGTTCTTGCTACTGTAGTTGTGGTTGAGGATATTTTTGCTGGTGTGGATTTTATTTGCTAGATTGCTTTTGTTCTAGCAGTACCTGTACAACAGCATACAAGATGTGGTGGGGGTTGTGACTCTCAGTCAGCCAGCCAGAGGGGAGAAACCATCAACAAATGAGCCAACAACAACCAAAATCCAATTACAACAAGCGTAAAGGACAGCCCAGATCATCCAGCTCAGGAGATCAAGGAGACTGCACCACTGGACCCCAGCATGTCTCCTACCACAGAGGGCCACACCACAAAGACAGGGAGTCAAAGAAGATCAATCTAATATGCAGAAACAAACAAAAATAATCACCTAAAATGAGGATACAAAGAAACAACTACCAATTGAAAGAAAAGGAGAAATCCCTAGAAAAAGTTCTAAATGAAACTGAGGCAAGTGATCTATCAGACACAAAGTTCACACAAAGTTAGTGAGAATTACAAAGAGCTTTATGGGATCTGCAATGAACTTAGTGGGAACTACAACAGCATGAAAAAGGACATAGAAATCAATGACTAAGAACCAGGAGGAAATGAAAAACATGTATCTGAAATGAAGAATACAGTAGGAGGAATTAAAAGCAGGCTAGGTGAAGCAGAGGATTGAATCAGTGAGTTGGAAGACACGGTCCAAAGAAATACCAGTTAGAGAAACAAAATGAGAAAAAGACTAAAAAAGATAGTTTAAGGGAGCTGCAGGACAACATGAAATATAACAATATTCAAAACAGGGATACCAGGAGGAGAAGAAAAGGAGCAAGGGATAGAAAACCTCTTTGAAAAAATAATGACAGCAAACTTCCCTAACTGGGTGAGGGAAAAAAAGTCATGCAAGTTAAGGAGGCAGAGAGGATCCCAATCAAGATGAACCAAAAGAGGCCCACTCAAAGACACATCATAATTAAAATGGCAAAACTTAAAGACAAACAGAGAATCTTAAAGGCAGCAAGGGAGACACAGCTAGTAACATACAAGGGAGCTCCAATAAGGCTATTAGCTGATTTCTCAACAGAAACACTATAAGCCAGAAGTGATTGGCATGAAATATTCCATGTAATGAAAAGCAAAGGCCCGCAACCAAGGCTTCTCTACCCAGCAAGGCTCTTATTTAAAATGAAAGGCAAAATAAGGCGTTTCCCAGACCAAAAAAAAAAAAGGACTAAAATAGTACATCTCCACTAAACCAGCATTGCAACAGATACTAAAGGGACAGTTTTAAGAAGACGAAGAAATAGAGCAAAAGAGAGGAACATAGGTACAAAGGGAAAAATTGGCAATGAATAAATATCTATCAATAATAACCTAAATGGATTAAATCCTCCAATCAAAAGACAGGGTAGCTGAATGGATAAGAAAATATGACCAACATATATGCTGCTTACAGGAGACCCACCTCAGAACAAAAGGTCTACACAGGCTGAAAGTGAAGAGATGGAAAAAGAAAAAGAAAAAAAAAAAAGTAAGCAAATGGACATGAAAAAAAAAGCTGGGGTAGAAATACTTTTATCAGACAAAAATAGACTTCAAAACAAAGGCCATAACATGAAACAAAGAAGATCACCATATACTTAAGGGAGTAGTCCAACAAGAGGATATAACCCTTGTAAACATATGTGCCCAAAATAGGAGCACCTAAATATATAAGGAAAATCTTGGAGGACTTTAAGAAAGAAATCAACAGGAATATAGTCATCATAGGGGATTTAACACCACACTGTCAACAATGGATATATTGTCCAGACCAAAAATCAACAAGGATATTGTGGCATTGAACAACTCTCTAGATCAAATGGCCTTAATTGATATTTATGGAGCATTTCACCCCAATGAAGCAAAATGACATCCTTTTCAAATGCACATGGATCATTTTCAATGATAGACCACATGGTAGGACACAAAACAAGCCCCAACAAATTTAGGAAAATTGAAGTCATATCAAGCATCTTTTTGGTTCACAGTGGCTTGAAACTAGAAACCAACCTCAAGGAAAAAGCTCAAAAACATTCAAATACCTGGAGACTGAATAGCATGCTATTAAATAATGAGTGGGTTAACAATGAGAACAAGGAAAAAAATCAAAAAGGACCTGGAAACAATGAAAATAAACACACAAGAAACTAAAACCTGTGGGATACAGCAAAGACAGTCCTGAGAGGGAAGTTCATAGCAATACAAACCTACCTAAAGAAGATAGGAAAATCTCGTATGAACAACCTAAACTTACATCTACAAGCACTAGAGGAACAACAACAAACAAAGCCCAGCGAGAGTAGAATGAAGGAAATAATCAAGATCAGAGCAGAATTAAATGACATAGAGACCAAATAAACAATCCATAGGATCAGTGAATCCAGGAGATGGTTTTTTGAAAAGTTAAACAAAATTGACAAGTCTTTAACCAGCAAAAAAATGAAGCTAGACCACCAACTTATACCATACACCAGAATAAACTCAAAATGGACAAAAGACTTAAATATAAGTTGTGATACTATAAAAGTCTTAGTGGAAAACATAGGAAATAAAATTTCAGATATCCTGTGTAGTAATATTTTTGCTGATATATCTCCTAGGGCAAGGGAAATAAAGGAAAAAACAAACAAATGGGACTACATCTAATTAAAAAGCTTCTGCAAGGCAAAAGAAACTATCATCAAAATAAAAAAGGAGCTAACTGTATGGGAGAACATACTTGCCAATGATACATCAGACAAAATATATAAAGAACTCATATGACTCAACACCAGGAAGACAAACAATCTAATTTAAAAATGAGCAAAGGACATATACAGAGACTTATCCAAGGAGGACATACAGATAGCCCTTAGACATGTTTAAAAATGCTCAACATCACCAGCCATCAGAGAGATGCAAATTAAAATTCCCAATGAGATATGACCTCACACCTGTTGAAATGGCTATCATTAATAAATCAACAAACAGCAAGTGCCGGTGAGGATGTGAAGAAAAAGGCCTTAGTACATTGTTGGTGGGAATGCAGACTGGTGCAGCCACTGTGGAAAACAGTATGAAATTTTCTTAGAAAACTAAAAGTGGAACTGCCTTTTGACCCAGCAATTCCACTGCTGGAATATACTCGAAGAATCCTGAAACTATTCAAATGCACCTATGCACTTCAATGTTCATAGCAGCATTATTTACAACAGCCAAGTGCTGGAAACAGCCTATGTGTCCATCGGTATATGAGTGGATTAAAAAACTGTGATATATTTATACAATGGAATACTACATAGCAGAAAGAAAGAAGGAATTCCTACCTTTTGCAACAGCATGGTTGAAACTGGAAACTATCATGCTCAGTGAAATAAGCCAATAAGTGAAAGACAAATACTATATGATCTTACTTATAAAAGGAATCTAATGAGCAAGATAAACTAACAAGCAAAATAGAACCAGGAAACATGGAACAGACTGACAACTGCCAGGGGGGAGTGGAGGAGGGGAATGGAAAGAAGGGAAAAGTATTAGTCATAGAACATGTATGAATTACCCATGGCCATGGCCAATGGTGTGGGGATTGACTGTGGGAGTGGGGGGTGGGCTGGGCAGAGGAGGCCAAGGGGGAAAAATTGGGACAACTTTAATAGAATAAAAAATAAAAAAGGAAGTTTGAAAAGACTGCATATGTGAAAGTACTCAAAGCACATGTCAGTTCCTATATTTATTGAATTAATTTTCCAGTGAATCATGTTAGAGAACCAGTACTAGCCATTTTCTCTATATGTTATTTTTCTTTTAGTATTTCACTAAACACTGACATGACTTCCCCCACTTGCCTTCATTTGGTCCCTCTGAAAACAAGATTTGCAGCATAAGCTTAATAGACCTACCCTGAGTCTAACTACCTGTTTGAAGGTGACTCAAATGGTTTGACATACTACATACACACATACACATGTGCCAGATTCTATAGGGAAGTTTAGGTACTATTAACATAGTTATAGTGGCCAAAAAATCTTTTTTGAGAAGCTGATGAGCATTTTTAGTCAGAGCGTTTCATAACCTGAAAACAGTGAATTTCTTTACCTGTTCCCTTTGGTGGAGAGCTGAGGAGGATAGAGGAACTAGTCAGTTCAGCTAAAGCATTGAGTACAGTGTCTCATATAAGCAGGGAGCTAAAATATCCCTGGAATTATCTTCTGGAGGGTGGGCCCCTTGTAGTACAGGTTTCCCCCTCTAGGTGAGTGTTCTGGGAAGCCACCTGTATCAGTGTACCAGCTGACATTGTTGTGAGAGGCTGCATTCAGATTCACTGAATTTTTTTTTCAGACACTTTCAACACAATTTCCCATTTCATTATGGGTGATTTATGAGTGCACCTGCCCACATCTTGCTGAGTGTTCAGCAGTTTTTGACCAAAATGGCATGGCCCCAATAACACACCCTCCCTATTCACCCGATCTCACCCTGAGCGACTTTATTTGTTTCTTCGGGTGAAAAAAGTCTTCAAAGGGAAACATGTTGCTGACTTAGAAGAGGTAAAACAAACAAACAAACAAACAAAAAAACAGAGACACTAAAATACATCCAAAGCAATGAGTTCAAAAACTGTTTTGAACAGTGGAAGAAACATCTTTATAGGTGTGTCACATCAAATGGAGAGTACTTTGAATATGACTGGCATTTAAACACATAAGAATAAATACACAATTTTTAATAAATACTTCCAGTTTTTAGGGTCTCCCCTCATATTATGGAGTAATCCATTTCTTTCCAAAGGGTTTTGCAAAGTCACCAACTTTCAAGGCAACAAAGGACTTTAATATGTATTGATACCCCCAGACCTTTCCATGGTGCAGCCTATGGCAAGGGTTGACTCAACCTCTGCCTAAAGATCTGCAGTGATCAGTGATCTAAAGATCTCACTTCTTTACTAGGAGGCTGGTCACACAACATATTCAATCAATCCAGCTTCTGTCCAATCCCTAATCAATCATCAAGGCTGGATTTACAAAGGGTCTGCCCTCTGAGGGCAAGGCCCCACCTCACTTGCATAAGTAACTCCATTGGAAGTCAAAGAGGGCTAAGCCCAGGCAGGCTTAAAACATAGTCACCATTAAATCAAAATGATTTGTCCAGCCCTATTTCTAGTAAAAGATCTGGCATGTTGTAATACTCATTAAATTATGTGTCCGTTACTCCCACCTGTCTTGTAAACAATGCTGCAGATGTTCTCTCAGCTGATATTTCACAGTTTACATGGGGCCAGTGGACAGTAGGGTGGTTCTGGATTAGTCACATCTTCTTCAGCTATTATATAAGAGAAAAATAACCACAGCCGCCTTCCGAGTGAGATAGTCAGTTAAAAGCGGGGAAAGCCCAATGCTAGCATTTGCAAGAAAACTAATTTCTGAGTATCTGTATACTCACCTGCATAGAAAAGGTAAGTGAAGTCCCCTGGAAATGCTTTTCCACCACCGTGCCAACTTTCTGGGTTGCCTGAAACAAATCAGCCACTTCATCGGGACGCAGATCTCGGAAGCGCTCCACTGGCCGAAGGGGACACACGAGGACATCTGCAGTGAAGTCTGTTAAGGAACACTTTGCTTGCTTTGGGTGGTATTTTTACCAAGAAGTTTATACCCACAGTATTGAATCCCCTTAGCCCAGGCCTGAACTCTCAAAGACTAAATAAAAACAAGAAACAAATACTTGCCAACAACCAAACTCCAAGGAATTCAAAGAAGACTTACAAACATGGTTAATTATACTTTGAAGGAGAAGCTGTGCTGAGCTGAAGAAATTCTGTGAAGAGCAAGAGATATTAGTGTTTCAGAGAGACTCAAGTGCTGGCTGATATAATTATGCCAAGAGGTAAGACCTATCCTGGACCATTATTTCCTGACCCCTATTCCAATGCTCTGGAGTCTTAAGCAGCCCAAGCGGCTGGGAAAGCAACTGGAACATCCAGTTGGTTTCTCTACCTAGAGCATCATGATTAAAATTTTAATTTTAATATCTCTTTGGAGAACCATGTAATGAAAATATAATAGTAGTTGTATTTATTTTATTTTTAAAACTAGTGTAGACATTCTGCAAACATACAGTGAACTTCATCTATAACCTATAGATGTGCATGTGGTTAAACAATTTATGACAAGTATTCCTCAAACTGATCATTAAGAATTCAAGAAGGCAGCTGAAGGTAAATCATTAATTTATGAAAAGGGTTGTCTGCTTTTGCAAACAGAAGTATTTTAGTGCATTCTGTAAGTTAGACAAGTCAACATGTTTACATTTTTGGTCTGAACAAACAACAGAATCTAGAGAAAATGGATATATAAACTTGATCATTTATTGATAGCAAATTATTATTCAATGTTACATCACTAATAACACTTCAGCTTATTTTTGTACTTGAACTCATCATATATATGTGGGTATGAACATATCACACATATGCATACACAATGAGACATAATTAACAAGTTTTTAGATACCAGCAGGAGGAAAAAAACGCTATAACGTTCTTTTCTGTTTCTTTTTTCCTTTTTTCTTGTTGTTTTAGGAGAACATGCTTCTGCCTGGAGCTAAGCAGCTAAGGGTCATAGTAAAACCACAATTCAACAATTGCTAGTCTCACTAGGATACCAAGCATTGTAGCCCATCAGACCAATGGTACAACTCAGGCCCAAGGGAAAATGCACTGAGCTCAGCTGAGCAGGTCTGATTTTCATAAGAGAAGGGGGAGGAGAGGGAAACTGATTAATTTTGCTCATAATCAGGAAATTCATGTCAACAGTAAACTAAGAAAAGGAGCATTTGTCTAATCTGAGTTCATTTTTCAAGAGATGAGAAGGGAGAGGCCTTCACCCACAGGGCATCGGATACTTAAAAAGATAATTATCCCTCTTTTGGCAGGGCTGCTTTATTATCATGGGTCAATGAACTGTTTAGAAATGAAGAATTTCCTTTCATTTCCTTTTAATAGATTGCTAGTCTCCACACCCACTGAACTGCTTTTCTTTGTTAAAAGAGCCCTTTCCCCATCTTCCTCCCCCCTGCTTTAATTTACACCCACCCTTAGGCCCTGACTTCATCAAACCACACCAAGATGACGACTTTGCAAACTTCCAACAATATCCATAATTGCTGTGGTAGGCTTTGTCTATACAGAAACTAGGTGGGGAAGAAACAACATTTTATTTAAGCGATTGCTTACTGTGAAACTGGTGGAATGACAATCTTTGTAACTTCAGTAATATCAATGACATCTGAAAGCTCTTTTTTCAATGAGATAAAAATATCTTATTGTATTATCTGTCCATTCTGAGTCTGATGCTAAAGATTGGTTTGGCAAAATGTTTAATAATATTAAATGTTTATGGAATCAAAAATGTCTCAATTTGTCAGATGTTTTATCCTGTGTATGTACCCAACCACAGGGTGATACATCATATACATTTATTATTTTAATTAAACATTAATAATAGGTAACACAACATGTCACAAAAACAGTTAAACAGGTTAAACACATTCTCATTTAGGTGAATATTTTTCATGAGCTCATTTAGGCAACATTGTCCTGATACATATATTCTCTGCAACCCAACCTCTGCTAAGAAGTCATTTTATCTGCATATAACACACACACACATTTCTAAGCAAATAATAAGATAAATAAAAATAACTTTCAAGGGTGCTTTCCTGGGCACGTGTTTATACGGGTGATTGCTTTCTTTGTCTTGCTGGGACTCAGACAATGGCCAAGCAGGCATCTTAACCTGGGAGTGGCCACAAAGGTAGGCTCCAGGCAACCCTACAGGGAGGCACATGGGTCTGGAGTTATACAGGGTGAACCCCTGGAGCTCTGGGTGCTGTGTGAGTAGTTGACCTGTAGAAGGTCAACTATTTAACACACTCCCTGGGCCATTCTAGGCACCGACTGAACATCAGAAAGTCAGGATCAACCACCTTCCTTCAGCTCCTTTAAAACCAGAGCAGAACAAAGCCTATGCCTAAGCCTCACCACAGGCTACATTCTGCCCAATGCCTACCCATTTCCCAGACCTCCTCTTTCCCCACCCCTCTCTTGCCATGTATGCTCTTTTTGTTGCTCAAACACAGTACGCTCCTTCCCTGATTTGGAGCCTTTTTCCTGGCTATCTGTTCTTCCTGGAATTAAATTCTCCATGGTCTTCATATGGTCACTTCTTTCTTATTATTCAGATTCTAATTCCAGTGCCACTTTCTCAAAGGAGTATTCACTGCTGGGTGGTTTAAACTGCTATGGGCTTACTCACTCTTATATCACCTATTTTACTCTTCCCTGGCCCTTGCCACCAGCTGATGGTTTTCTTCTGTTGATTACCACCTACCTGGGTGAAAATGTAATCTCTTCAACAGTGAAAACTTAGTTTTGTTTACTGAAATTTCCCCACCACTTATAACATCAAAGACATTGAATGAGTAGTGCTGGATTGAATGAATAAATAATACACCTGACCCTCATATTGGCCATCTCTGAGTACTAATACCCTGATGAAATTCGTTTACTTTTCAATTACCTATACAAGACTGGGATAGGCTGCAAGATTTTTTTTTTTAAATTTGAAGAGGTTTATGCTTAATATCTAACATTCAACTAATGTTTGATGAGAACTGGGGAAATGTAAACTCATTTGTAATGTAAACTAATTTTCATATGAACCCAAAGGAAATATAATTACAAAGGTAAAACCTTTTTTTAAATCCTTTTATAATTAGAAAGAAGTGGTTTCTCGAATATTCAAAGTCTCAGATAAACTATGTATAGAAAAATGCTGCTTTGTACTATGACTAGGAAATGTAATTCATTCATTCATTCAATGAACAGTGAGCACCAGGTAAGCATAGAAACTGTGCTAGGTTCTGGGAATAGCAAAGGAGAGTAAGAAGTTGCTCTTGTCCTTCAGTTCAGGATACAGGGATTGAGACAGACAGCTGCAGTACTATGGAAGGTACAGAATAAGCATAGAGGGCTATCGAGTCAGAGAAATCTGAGGCACCTTGGTAAGATAAGGGTTCCAGAAAAACCATGAATAAACTTTGAATTGAATGATTATCCCAAGGCTAACTGGAAATATAAATGTGTTCATAAAGGATTTAGAGCAGGTAAGCAAACATTTTCTGCAAAGAACCGGACGTAAAATATTAATATTTTAGGTCTGGTGGGCCATGAGCCCAAGCAGCCATACACAATACAAATACTAATGGGTGTGGCCATATTCCAGTAAACAGAAGGAGGAGGCTGACCGGATTTGGCTCATGGGCCGTAAAGTGTCAATGCTGATGTGGAAGAATCACATTAGAAAGAGGTAACTAAAGGAAACAAAAAGCATTGGGTGCCTACTCTTCTTTCCCTAAGCTGAGGAGCACAATGCTATCTTAATAGCATATTGGATAAAGCTTATGTTATCTTATAGAATTTAACTGTCTATGAAAGATATCTGAGCATGTTCATGACCTTGTACAATGCTTTTAAAGACTAATCACATCAGAAGACATGTTACGATATTGACACCATGAAATAAATCATGAGTATTTCTCTCCAACACAAGTAAAATGAGTTTGTTCCATCTCTAATTGGAAGAATGCAGCATATAATCTGCAAACACATGAGAGCCCCAAAGCAGTGTGCTATTTATAAATTCATCTGAGAATAAAAGTATTTTCTCAAAATAAGTGCATAAGTCTTAAAACACCATATTGCTTGAAGATGATAGGTATGTGCTACATGTTTCTCCTGGACGCACAACTCAGGGAAAGCAAATTAATTTTGAAAGACAGCAGACAGCTCCTGTAATTCTACTGCCACCGTTTATATGCCAAATATTTTAAGGTAATATCACAGATGCAGTATATTAATAGGGAGACTCTTAGGCTTTGTAAATGGGCAAGTCCCATATTACACATAGACTATAAGAACATACTTCTGCATCTTCTTTGTTTAAGGTTGACACCTCTGAAGAGACTTATTAGCCAACATGCAATGATAACCCTTGAGGTAGTTAATCTACTCAACTGAATTTAATATATGTTGATCCAGTACTCATAACACATGAAAAACCATGACAGAAGGTTATCAAATGGAATCTGGTCTCTCCCTACAATATAAGTAGAGACATCTATTTAGTAATAACATTTTTTTCAAAAGAAAAGAAGACCAATAATTACAATTTAGTTCATATGATCAACAAAGGTATTCCTCATAGCAGAGGAAAATCAAAGAAAGCTTCTTACTGCAGATGAGATTTAAAGTGGACTTTACAAATGGGGGGTAATTCAAACAATGAGTTGGCTGGCAACCCACTCACCCATCCATTTCACAACTAAAGCCTACTGTCAGCCCAGGGTTTGCACTACAATTTAGGATGCCAAGATGAATACAACGGAGTAACTGACCTTGAAGAGCTCACACTCTAATATCCCAAACTGTCATGCAGTATAAACAGATCATTACAACACAGAGAGATGAGTGCTATTGATAGAACAGATTGTTGTGGGAGCACAGAGGAGGCAGAACCTAACTCTGCCT